TCTACCTTGCACTACCATTTCCATACATATCCTAATCACATGCATCTTCTCTCTACGCTTCACATGTCCATACCACGCTAACCATCTTAAGCGATTATTGTGACCTATAGACAGATATATACTATGAGTGTCTAATATACAAATATTAGACAAACATGATAAATCCCATTGATCTGAATATTATAAAAATGTCTTTAAAAGAAAAGAAAAAAATATTGCGAGTTTGTGTGGTCGCCGACCCTCTTATATTTCTTGATACAAAACTGACCATTATATTTCAAAACCACCAATGAATACATACTATTGACGTTAAGAGTGTAGATAATAAAACCGTTATTTACAACTAGAATTACTACCAGTAGTAAATACGGCATGTCAGTTTTATAACTAAACTGTGGCACTATGCGATATGTTTTGGCACCTCGCCATAAGAATATCCTGTTTGTCTAACGTCGATATGTGTAGTTGGATCGATGAAGAACTTGTTAACGAAATTAATGCGGAATGTGATAAGTAGGTACATAATGTATTGATGAGTAGATGGACAAGAGCCACGAACCTACATCGCCTCCGGCGGGTAAGTCGATGAACCAGATATTTATTTTTGTATCTATGAACAAAAAAAACCCGTAAAATCCAATAGGAGGGCTATATTCAGGACTTGTTTTTTTATGTTAGTTACAAGATATATTGAAAAAGTACCCACCCTGAAACAGGTGTGTAAGCCTTAATTTGAATATCGGTTATTCTAGTCTTCACACTCGAGACAGCGATTGCTTCATCGCTAAAATAGGCAGGGTACGCCCCGTATTTTTGTTTATTGCTTAGGTGTGTGGACGAGCTCACGGCCCATCTGGTGTTAAGTGGTTACCTTAGCCCATAGACATCTACAACGTAAATGCCGCCACCCACCTTAATACCCACCCCTTCAGATAGTTACGATATGAATTAGCAAGAATATTAAGGCAAGAGAACGGGGCGATCATGATAAGGATACCTTGGCCCTAGTTCGTAATTCGTGGTCGCATATCTCTATTATGATAAAGGACCGGACACCGATGTCATGTGAGGATCCTAGGGTTTGCTTAAATATGTATTGAAGGAAATATTTTAAATTAGTCCGAGTCAACATAAAAACGTGTTAGCGTTTTGCCTAGACCTTGACCCTATTAAGAATCCACTACAAATGTTTGAAGAAATTTAGAGCTATTCACGATGTTTTACCCAACCCATAACTAAAATTGGGTAATGTTTTTTTTTTAATTCGGTATAGTGAAAGTATTTTTCGAAAGGCGAAATTTGTTAATGTTTCTTGCTAAATTAAGAATTTTAAAGTGAAGCACAAAATGATTCGGCGCGATTAAATTTTATCTTGTTTACTCAATGAAGTTGTTTTGTTTTTGAATAAAGTTTTGAATTGATATAGCCGCTGCTCATTCATGGTCCAGAAATAACGATGACTGAACTGAGACGGTGGCAGCAACACTCAATTGGGTCAATTAAGATCGCGGCCTACTGGCTTCCGCGAAGACCTATAAGGAGTGTCTGTCTTCGAATCCCTGGATGTTTATATCCTTAGTATAATCTATCTATATATATATATATAAAAGTGAATTGCTGTCTTGAATTATTTGTTGAAGTCCAGAGAAGGTTTAAAAGGTAGATCAATATGAAAATGCTCGGAATTAAATAAAAATTACAATTTTCTTTTTCTTTTGATGTGTCCCCCGTCGGACGAATACCTTTTGTTTGTTCTAAGTTTATTTTATACAAAAGTTTAGGTCTTTTATTTATCGATTGAGGCACTACGAAGTTTGCCGGGTCAGCTAGTAAGTTATAAAGTTTCTAAATAAAACGAGTTAGTAATGAGTGTTTAAGGGGAAGTTTGTAAGTAGCTTCGGTTACATAAAATAAATAATAGAAAGTTACTGTGGTATGGGCATGTTATCTGTAAGGAAGATGGATATGTGACCAAAAAGGCCCTGAGTGGGAAATTAAAGTAAAGTAAAATTAAATTAAAATAAAGTAAAGTGGAGAGAGGGCGTCCTAAAAATACTTCTTGTGTGACAGAGGATATGCGAGAAAAGTGTGTGTGTGCCGAGATGACGTGTGATAGGCTTGAATGGAAAAAGAGGATACGCTGCACCGACTTCACGCAGTGGGAGTAGGGCAAGAAGATCAAGAAGTTTTGAATTTGATAACATAGGTTTTTTTAAAATATATGTTGATGATTTACTGGTGGCCTGGAGGCCTTTCCAGTTTCACAAGGACAAGTGGGCGAGCAAGGGCTCAGCCGAAGGGGCGGGATTTACTAACAGCTACCCGAGCGCCCCCAAGGGAGACTTAACAACTCAAGAGTAGCTGTTTCGCGAACGAATCTACTACCGGATCAGAATCGCGACCCTCTGAGAAGATCCGGTGAGAAACTCAACGGGCTGAGGGTTTTGTTGTTTGACTGTCAACATTATTGTACTAATAATGTATAACTTTTCTGCTTGTTTGCAAAAGTTCTGAGAACGATAAGTTTATGTGAATGCAATTGTTTTATGGTTTTACTTATTAAGATCATGGTCGGATGATGATGTAAACATGTGTAATGAATTGTCTAGCTCTGGCCATGAGATTCGCGCTTGTAGTCAAATTTTATAATTGTGTGATCCTTAATCACGAAATACACGTTAACGCACTGAAGTTCATTTTTTTTTATTTTTTTTTATTTTTTTTTATTTTTTTTTATTTTTATTGCCTAGATTGGTGGAAGAGATCACAGCCCACCTAGTATTAAGTGGTTACCGGAGCCCATAGACATCTACAACGTAAATGCACCACCCACCTTGAAATATAAGTTCTAAGGTCTCAGTATAGTTACAACGGCTGTCCCCCCGCCCTTCAAACCGAAACGCATTACTGCTTCACGGCAGAAATAGGCATGGATCAGAATAATCTACATTTTTTCGTATATCCTGAAGGCGATATGATAAGGCAAGTAATAGTCGCGCCTCTGGTCTAAGGGTCTGGGCAACAGAGCAATTTTCCAGCAGATTAGACAAAGTATAGTCTTTATAAATGCTCACGGCTCGCATACTTTATTAGCAGAGAAATGGACAACAATTTCATTTAATCAGCTTGTTTTCTGTGAGCTTTAACTACGGGATTACAGCTTAATCAAAAGCACGTTGTATAAAATGATAGATATAGTATAAATTTGTTGTGTTTCTCGAATTATTTCAGAGATGTATGTATGTACATGGGATTGAAATTCGTCATTAAAAAAATGTTTCGTCGTATAGACGGATTCTGGTTAAGGAAAAGCATTAAAATGAACGTATTTAGTGCTACTAATGTATCCATACTCAAAAGAGCTCCAAATCAAACAAAGCCTTTCGTCGATCGTGCAATTGCTAATATGTTAATATGTTTGGACATATCATTCGTAATGAAAGCTCATTGGAACGTTTAGTGGTTCTAGAAAGAGTAGACGGTCAACGCTCTCGCGGCCGATCACCCACAAGGTGGACAGACTTGGTTAAGTCATCTACGAAGTGTTCCCTTACTGAATGTACACGTACCGCCACAAATAGAGAGAGATGGAGAAGTCTCTCAAAAGCCGCAACCAAGCATTAAGACATACATAACCCCAGCCCACTGAGTTTCTCGCCGGATCTTCTCAGTGGGTCGCGTTTCCGATCCGGTGGTAGATTCTGCGAAGCACTGCTCTTGCTAGGGTCAGTGTTAGTAACTCTCCGGTTTGAGCCCCGTGAGCACAAGTTAGGGTGAAGCTGAAATAGCCTCTCAAGGCTATCAGCATAGGTAGGGGAAAAAAAAAACGTGACCACGACCACTCCGCCATGATTGTAAGACTGAGAAGAAGAAGATTTAGTGCTAGTTTCAAATCACTAGTAGGCCACTAAAACACGTCCTTACGGATCCATCAGATCCAATAACCTTTGCATTAGACGCCTTCAGCTCTAACACTAAGAGCAGGCTTAGGGACCTCGGTAACCGTACTCGTCGAACTCGACAAAGAGTTCGCCGTGCAACCTAACCCATGAATCAGCTCGCTGAGTTTCTCGCCGGATCTTCTCAGCGGGTCGCGATTCCGATCCGGTAGTAGATTCATTCGCGAAGCAGCTACTCTTGAGCTGTTAAGTCTCCTTCGGAGGCGCTCGAGTAGCTGTTAGCAAATCCCACCCCTCCTGGCTGAGCCTTTGCTCGTCCACCTGTCCTGGTGAAACTGAAAAGGCCTCCGGGCCACCAGTAATCCTTCAATAATAAAAAAAAAGGCACTAAATATTTTGTTTACGTTTTACAAGAGTAACCACATTCGTCCGTATTGCATTTCGTTAACAGAACGTTTTACCGTAGGCGTCCTTCACGCGGCGACGCGACGATGCGCGACCGCAGAACGTGTTCCCACGTTGTTGTTATTTACCTGACCATTGTGTACGACGTTGCTTACGGGTTTGTGGGAAACGTTGGTGCGGCGGTCGGCGCATTCGTCTTTCTTGAACTGATCTGAAGTGCTTTGGTGACGTACTGTGCGCTGGAAGACTGTTCTAGAATACTCATACAATCAAAGATGTTCTTCTTCTGAGCCGGTCTTTTCATTGCTGAAGGTCGTGTCTAATCTGAAATGTGGACCACTTGATGCACAATTCTTCCCCACGTCTTCCTGTCCTCGGCGGTCTTTATAGCCTCTGTTATTGGCAGGCCGGTGAGCGTCTTTACCAGATCAGACCAGCGGGTAGGTGAGCGTCCGCGTGATCTTCTCCCGCCAACCTGACCAACTACATCAGCTTCTCCAAGTTATCGGGCCCTGTACGAGCGATGTGGCCGAAGTACGCGAGAATATGTTGGAAACAGATAGCGATCAAAGATAGTATCCTTCAATGAAATGTTTCCCTTGGTGTTTTGTCAGCGCGCCCTATTTAATCATTAGCAAGGTTTTCCCGGTATCAGAAGTATAGTAGTGGTAAAGTATAGTTTTCTTTTCTTTCTAGGCGTTGAGGGTCGCGCGGCAAAATGCCGGAGAGCGTGGCCAAGGACAGCAAGGAGGATGCGAAGACGAAGAACAAAGAGTCGCCCAGGCGACGCCCGACCGGCAACGTCGCCAAGGTCAAGGTGGAGCTGCTCGATGGATCTAACATGGAATTGGATGTCGATGTGAGTGTTTTTATATATATTTTTTTTTTTTATTGCTTAGATGGGTGAACGAGCTCACAGCCCACCTGGTGTTAAGTGGTTACTGGAGCCCATAGACATTTTCAATGTAAATGCCGCCACCCACCTTGAGATATAAGTTCTAAGTTCTCAAGTATAGTTACAACGGCTGCCCCACCCTTCAAACCGAAACACATTATTAATATCGCCTTGGAATTCATTCGAAGGGTGGGAAGGCCGTTATATACTACAAGACAACTTCGATCTCATTGCTGTAAGTCAGCGGCGGCGTTGACGAATTAGCACCAGGTGGACAGTTCGTCGGTCTAGCCAGTGCAATAAAAAAGATGTATGGTGTCGTGGGACACCGGATAGGAACGAAGTTCCTTATTATAAAAATATTAATTTTAAGTTCTATTCGAGGTAAAAGAAAATAATTATTCGGGTATACATTTTTTATTATGATTTTTTATTGATAAAAAAAAACTACAAAGTTATCAAATTTATTTTATTCACAATGATTTATAAAAAATATATAATAATAATATACAAAGAAACAGTTATTTATATGAATAATAATTAATAATAATAACCGTCATCGCGTAGACTATACATTAGACACTGTATAGCCATCATACTAAGAGTATACATAAATAATAACATACACAAATCTTACGTTACGGACGTTTTTTCCCGGTTAGGGTACCCCTCCGCATTGTCCCATAAGGAACTTTGTTCCAAAAATAAATACAATTTTATTACTGTGTGTTGCATCAATTTTGTGTTAATTATCCCGATAGTTTCGTTAACGTTGACGACAAATTGAAAATTAATCATGTTCCTAAGCTTTATGGTTTGATATATGTTACACGATCACCCAAAAATGACAACGACACGGCAACGGGCAACACCGAGTAGATGTGTTTTAATTAATATGTCATTGTGTTCGCTGGCTTATTCTTATTTATTTATTTATTTGGGAAACCAACAGTACAAAAAAAATATAGTATATTAAAAATAGCTAAAACAATAACCAAACAAGTTTCTACTATCAAAATCCCATATAAGTAGAATCATCATAGTCGGGTTACTCTTGGAGCAATCGTGATCATGTGGACAAATGTTCACGATTGACTTCCACGGTGAAGGAATAACATCGTGTAATAAAAATGAAACCTGCAAAATTATAATTTGCGTAATTACTGGTGGTAGGACCTCTTGTGAGTCCGCGCGAGTAGGTACCACCGCCCTGCCTATTTCTGCCGTGAAGCAGTAATGCGTTTCGGTTTGAAGGGTGGGGCAGCGGTTGTAACTATACTTGAGACCTTAGAACTTATATCTCAAGGTGGGTGGCGCATTTACGTCGTGGATGTCTATGGGTTTCAGTAACCACTTAACATCAGGTGGGCTGTGAGCTCGTCCATCTACCTAAGCAATAAAAAAAAAATAAAAAAAAGAATTCTTGTTTATTAAAGCCTTAAAGTAGAAAATGAACAAAGGATAAAAAGAGAAATTCATAAATTTAAGTTTACACAAAAAAAGGAAAGCAACACAATACGCACATAATAATATGTATATCCACCTATATTTTATGAGTATCTTTATGAACCAACAGCCCTACAAATCATATACGTATAGTAGTTTATGTACCAGAGATACGAGAAAATCTTTATCTCGGGTTTTCGATTTTTTTTATCATAAAACCAAATAATAATGTAAATAACTGGCAATAAATCGCATACGATCATCGGGCCTCAATTTCAAATTCCCCCGTTTTATGGGGGTGATTTTAGAGATTGACAAACATAGCTATGTACGTTTAAATATATATATTAATCACCCAGACAAAGAGCAAACCACAGATAACCCCCAAAATGTTTGCCCGAATTGGGAATCGAACCCACGACTCACGGTGTAACAGTCAAGGCCGCTAACTGTAGCATTAACGAGTAAGTCATAATATTAAGTTTAATATTGTTACGCGCTGGGGTTCGCGATAAATAAATGCTCCACCAAAGTACAACTTAAAACTGTATTCAACTCTTAGAACACTTAAAACACTTCACAAACACTTTAAAATTCACTCAATTCACCTCTTCCGCTTCGCTTCAGGTGATCCGTTCGCTGTTTCGCTTCGAGAATTTCCGATTACTAACTAACTGCGTGTCATCTCTGCAACGCTTTTATAGTCGATACATCTAGAATTATCGAGAATATTCCACAAAAGTTGAGTATTGTGTGTATCGGCTATCTAACAATAGATGGCGTTGTACTTCTCGAGCGTTCTACTAAAAACTATTAGATTCTTCTATATCCGTTCGGCTATTCGGCGATAGATGGCGTTACTCTTACCGGTGTAACAATATTTATGGGCAAATAAAAAGAACTGTCCTTTTTATTTTGCAGCGCAAAATCCGCGGACACGAGCTGCTGAACAAAGTGTGCGACAACCTTAACCTGGTTGAGAAGGATTACTTCGGACTGCTCTACGCCGATAGAGGAGATCCCCGGGTGTGGATCGATCTCGACAAACGGGTCTCAAAAATGCTGAAACGTAAGTACATATATCGTCTTGCTACTCACAAGGATATTGCTGTCCACTGCTGTACGAGTAGGTGATTCGGTTCTAGGACTCCGAGTAACTTTTACTGTGTAATCTGCGAAGCCATGTGGCATAGTCATAGCACAAGTACATTTCGTTGTGATCATGAACGTCATACCCGATCCTGTAGACCGAATGGTAAACAGTCGATGTCGCCCAAAATAAGATATTACGGATCCTCCCGATCCATTAACGGTGCTTTTAGGTACCACAAGTACCGGTCACCGTCCTCGTCGAAACCGTCGCTTGCGACGAAGGGCTCGTCGAGCGAATTAACCCATAGACACAGCACACTGAGTTTCTCGCCGGATCTTCTCAGTAGGTCGCGTTTCCGATCTGGTGGTAGATTCTGCGAAGCACTGCTCTTGCTAGGGCCAGTGTCAGCAACACTCCGGTTTGAGCCCCGTGAGCTCACCTACACGTTAGGGTGAACCTGAAATAGCCTCTCAAGGCTATCAGCATAGGTAGGAAAAAAAATGAACGTGGCTTCCAAATTGTATATGCTTATGTTACACCACATTGGTTCGCATCACTAGTTTGCTATTGCGGTCTGAACCGCTTAAAGGTTATGGATGTTGGTTTTCTATTGTGACCGCGGCATCGGGGTGTGTCGTAGTTCTGTTATCACCGATGCATTTTAGCTTCTCTGAAACATTTTCAACTGTACGTAGTCAAAGAGATACGGCTCCCAGACGCGCTAAACAATTGAATGATAGTTATTTGGACACTTTAAATCCATTAAATCTAAGTTTGAATTATTTCTTAATTCGATTTCTTACAGATGAACCGTGGTTCTTAAGGTTCGCCGTAAAATTCTACCCACCGGAGCCAGCGCAGTTGCAGGAAGAATTAACGAGATACCAGCTTGTTTTGGCGGTTCGCAGGGATCTACTTGATGGTTTGTGATGATGATGATCGATGATTTAAATCTATTCTAAAGTATATGTATGTATATATTGTTACTGGTGGTAGGACCTCTTGTGAGTCCGCACGGGTGGGGTACCACCACCCTGTCTATTTCTGCCGTGAAGCAGTAATGCGTTTCGGTTTGAAGGGTGGGACAGCCGTTGTAACTATACTGAGACCTTAGAACTCATATGTTTAGGTGCGTGGTGGTTTCCGTTGTAGATGTCTATGGACTCCGATAACCACTTAACGCCAGGTCGGTTGTAAGCTCGTCCACCCATCTAAGCAATAAAAAATAAATAAAAAAAGATAAAATAAATGAGTAAACTGATATCTTTACACTATGTTAATAAATAGTTCATGTGTATTCACACCACCACACCGCACCACACACCACACCACACCACACACCACACCACACTACGCCACACCACACCACACCACAAATATGTCACAAAGACATTTTACTAAGTAAGCGGACACAAGATGTAATACACTGTTGCTTAAGACGCGATAAAGTATATTTATTTAATGCATTCTTTTTTTTGTCAACCCTCGATTTTACTATCCATAGAATATTCGTATCGAGGGGCTTTAAATAAAATCCATTATTAAGTACAAAAAGATATATCTCACAATTTATGTTCCTTCAAAGTGTTGGGTCTTGGATTGAAAAGTACAACCACAGCAAAAGAGAACGTGAAAGTAATAGTAAGTAATGTGACGGAGGCTTTGAAGCTAAGTTTGTCTCCAGGTCGCCTACCCTGTTCGTCTGTAACGCACGCATTACTGGCCAGCTACCTTCTCCAATCTGAACTTGGCGATTATGAGGATACGGAAGTCGGTGCCGGTCTGTGCAAGCAACTAAAGCTGGTCCCACCGTCATCTTGCACTCAGGAGTTAGAGGAAAAGGTCGTAGAACTACACAAGACACACAGGTAGTTTGCATAGTGCCATAGTCGAGTAGCTTTGTGATAAGTCAAGTCAAAGACCCCAATATTTCTATTTAAACTATGATTGTATTACAGGGGTCAGACACCAGCGGAGGCCGAACTGAATTATTTGGAGAATGCGAAGAAGCTCGCCATGTACGGGGTGGACCTCCATCCAGCCAAGGACTCGGAGAATGTCGATATCACGCTAGGAGTTTGCTCGTCTGGTCTTCTTGTGCATAGAGAGAAGTTAGTGCATAATTGAACGAAACTATATTGTTGGATAAATCTGCGATCTGTCACCAGTTGTGTAAAGGCTTCGTCAAACAGAATGCGTGATTAGCGCGCGTCAGAGCGCTAAACTAACGGCGCGCTATGACGCCGAAATGTGTTGTACTACTATGGTAACATACCGTCAAACAGAGCCCCAGCGTTATAAGCACGCAGCCCTCTGTCGCGGCGTTAGGACGTTTTGACATCAGGCGTTGTATTTTTTTACAAATTTCATTTTAGCGTCCGAGTGAATGTGTACTAAAATACTGGATAATGCCCGAAAAATTGATAGAAATAGTTAGAAAATATCCATGCTTATACAATGCCAGATCTGAATCACTCGACATCTTAATACTTTTAAATTTTCAGACTGCTATAGAAAGGCACTATGATTTGGCAAATGCGTTGCGTCAAGGAGCGTAAGGCTTATCTAGTCAATTGGTGTGACATGAAAAGAGCGCGTCGTTAAAACGCAGCGCTAAGTACGTGTTCTGTTTAACGATGCCTTAAAGGTTTGAACCAAGTATCCCCCCTCTCTCGCACAGGCTCCGCATAAATCGGTTCGCTTGGCCGAAAATCCTGAAGATCAGCTACAAACGACACAACTTCTACGTGAAGCTGCGGCCGGGCGAGTTCGAGCAGTTCGAGTCGACGGTCGGCTTCAAGCTCGCCAACCATCGCGCCGCCAAGAAGCTGTGGAAGACATGCGTAGAACATCATACGTTCTTTAGGTAAATATGTTATTTTTGGAACGAAGCTCCTTATGGGACGATGGGTATCTACCTAACCGGGAAAAAACGTCCGTAACGTAAGATTTTTATTAGTAATGCGCACAGTGTACGACTTAACTTTGTAATAACGTACAGAAAATAACTTTTTTTTTTTATCATTAATTGACCACGATCTCAGAGCGTTCGTTTTCGCAATACACTAACTCTTATGCAAACAACCGTGAATGAAGTGTACCACAATAAGTTCGCACGTTACCGAATGACCGTGGGTTGTTGCGAAACCTCGAGTTTTATTTTCTTTATACCTCGAATAGAACTTAAAATTAATATTTTTATAATAAGGAACTTCGTTCCTATCCAGTGTCCCACGACATCATACATCTTTTCGTGTTGTACACTGTTTAGTGCTGTATGTGTGTGTTCGTCCTCACCGTGACCAGACAGCTGCCGCCTGACCCAAAATATGAGGCCATATTTAATTGGCTGTGGTAATAATCTATATGGTTTTTTTTTTTTTTTTTTAGAATTTGCTAGGATTAATAATCTCTTCTGCCTCACTAAATTTCCCGGGTCCGAACATCAATTTGGGGCTGGGCAAAGGGACCAGAGCCTACGCTTTGTGCGTCGCACTCCTCGGCTTAATCTGACTCTCAAAAAAGACCGTTTTTTTATGGTCCCGCAATGTTCCAAGAGTTCTTTTGGTCGTTCTTTCGAGAGGTCTTTAGTATCTGAGTACATTAGACAGTAAGACCAAGTTGTCTTTCAAAACGCTCAAAATTCAACTGCCTTCATTTACCTCTATACAACATGGAGCTGATTGTCTGGAGACATTGTCGATATACGGAGACATTTTCCCGTCTTCTTCTTTTGTCATCGCAGTACCGGCCACTACAACAAGGGTTCATCCCCACCACTTGAAATGCTGTTTCCATTAGCAGTATATTTCGGTATATACTTTATTCATGCACCGTCCCGGAATAACTTTACTTCCAGGATCTTTCCAAACCGTTATGACCGATTCGTTTTCGATCCTGATGAGGCATTACATATTTTTCCTCAACATTGCAGGAGCATCCATATTAAAGACTAACCGTCCGGGAAATCTTCCACTTCCTAACAAAATAGCCCAATTCCAATAGTGGTTCAACCTTTTCGCTACTGTTAGTCCGCTTGTACACGATTGGCGATGTGCGCACATACAGCACGGTACTCCGTTTCCTGTGAGGCCCACCGTGGCGAAAGGGCTAACAAACCCCTCAATGGAAGGCATCGGCGTGGCTATGACCTGCTGTTGTTGTTGACCATTATCGATAGGAATAATTCAAAGTAAGGCCGTCTGAAGCAATAAACTGTGGGTCTTCGAGTTTTGTAATAATTAGCCGGTGTTGGGAAATATGGAATTATGAAAATAAGACTTCTGCCAATAAACCATAAAAATTTAAGGTTTTTTATAACAAGCCTTAAGACAAATTTCTTGCATCTCAATGAGTTGGGCGTTGTATAACATTGCAGTGGTTAAACAGTTGTTGTTCGTGTGCAGGTTGATGTCGCCCGAGCCGGCCGCCCGCAGCTCCCTGTTCCCGCGGCTCGGCTCGCGCTTCCGGTACAGCGGCCGCACGCAGTACGAGTCGCGCCGCGCCGCCCCGCCCCGCGCGCCCCCGCACTTCACGCGCACGCTCTCCGCGCGCCGCCTCGCCTCGCGCAGCATGGACGGTACGTAGACGCGCCCCCCGCCCCGCCCCGCCCCGCGCGCCCCCGCACTTCACGCGCACGCTCTCCGCGCGCCGCCTCGCCTCGCGCAGCATGGACGGTACGTACACGCGCCCCCCGCCCCGCCCCGCCCCGCGCGCCCCCGCACTTCACGCGCACGCTCTCCGCGCGCCGCCTCGCCTCGCGCAGCATGGACGGTATGTATAGAACAAAAAAAACAGGCAAACCGCTGCCTACTGCATTCGGAAAAGCTAAAGTCACTGAAACGATTAGTAATAAATTGAGATCGCTCGATTTCATTATCGTTGTTTACATTAAAGTAGTTTATTATTATTGGGCGGCTCAGAGCCCGCTAGTCTCAGCGCGCGCCGCCGTGCTGCCGCCCGGGGGCCGACCCGCCTTAGGAACTCGAATGTAAACACAGACGCGCGCCTGTTTATGTTACGATGAAATCATCCGGATTCCGAATCAATCAAAGTCTGCTCTGGATCGGACGGCTCCTGTTGTATCTCTCACATCAAGTTAATAATGCCGTTTTTTTCACTTTCTGAGACGGATCCCGCGTACACGGCACATTTGGTATTAAGAGGTTGCCAGAGCCCATAGACATCAATAATGTAAATGCCATCACTCATCTTGAGATACGAGTTCTAAGTCTCAGTTCTACAATGGCTGCCTCACCCCTCTGGATCCCCACTGCTTTGCAGCAGAAAGGTGCAAGGTAGTGGACATATCCCTGCGGGTTCACAAGGCCCCACTACTAGTAATTACGCATATTGTGACGATTATTTTCGTTCGTGTCAATTTTAGTAATGAGAGGATCTTTAATGAATGATGATGATGAATAAAATAAAATAAAATCTATAGTATTTTCGCGAAAACTGTAATACAATCAGTTTTTGCAAAGTATTACACTTGAATGTTCGAATCCAATCTTGAAGTGGATGACACAAAAAAGTCGGGATTCAGTAAATATCCTCATCATCATCAACAGCCCACAGTCGTCCACTGCTGGACATAGGCCTCTCCTAATTCACACCACTGAGCCCATTAAAGACACACAGTAAATATCACTTATGACAAATACATAAATAAACAAACAAAACAGTCACTTCTAATTTGAAGACACACACATCTCGGGCTTGTCGTAGTTCCGAACTGAGCGCTTACGTAGCTATGAGACGTAGCGACGTAACCTTGCCAAGTGTGACACCAGACTCAATTTAATGCTAATTTATTGTGACTCATGAGTGTAAGGCCGAGTGCACACTGACGACTCGTGAGGGATGTTCACAACTATTGATTACATTTTTTGATATTAATAAGCAGAATTCGAGATTACGATATAATTAAGTCTTTTTTGGGTACTTTAAGTATTGTCATCTCAAGAACGTAAATATTGAAATCTCAAACATGTTTGTAAATGCGTTCACTTGGCGGGTGAACGAGCTCACAGCCCAGCTGGTGTTAAGTTGTTACTGGAGCACATAGACATCTACAACGTAAATGCCGCCACCCACCTTGAGATATAAGTTCAAAGGTCTCAATATAGTTACAACGGCTATCCCGCTCTTCAAACCGAAACGCATTACTGCTTCACGGCAGAAATAGGCAGGGCGGTGGTACCTACCCGTGACGACTCACAAGACGTCCTTTTTTTTCCTACCTATGCTAATAGCCTTGAGAGGCTATTTCAGCTTCGCCCTAACATGTAGGTGAGCTCACGGGGCTCAAACCGGAGTGTTGCTAATACTGGCCCTAGCAAGAGCAGTGCTTCGCAGAATCTACCACCGGATCGGAAACGCGACCCACTGAGAAGATCCGGCGAGAAACTCAGTGGGCTGTGTCTGAGAGTTAGGACGGTGACCGGTGCTTGTGGTACCTAAGAGCACTGTAAGTGGGTCCGTCCTACCACCAGTACTTAATTTAATTTTTATCAATTTATAATGTTTACGATAATTACTTAAGATTTTTCATTATTACAAACGGTTTTCCGTGAATACCTTTAAACACAGAATTAAAATATTTGTATTAGTAAATATGTGAATTGTTGACATCATCTCGCACACCGCCGTCCGCGTTCGCAAAAAATCTGCCCAGCTCGTCTAGTGAAGTAGTCGATATTAATAAACTGTTTACTCACAGCATCTAGATACATTACACCGTACGCGATACGAAAACAATCAGTTATTTGCGAATATCCATCGAGATCGGTATCCGAGGGAAGAATATATTTCAATATTGAATTTTTAGCTGTTTTCTCGGTTTTTTTGCCACAGTGTTGCTTTAACCAGACCATTGGATTTATCGTTAAAATATTGCCCGTTGATTTTTTTGTGGAGCGTATAATTTCGGTTTTTTGGTAAAAGTAATTGTAACAATATACACATTTAAAAATATAAGACAGTGAGCTTAATTACGATTTTTTTTGATACACGGGACTTACTGAAGTGTCTGTTGCTTGGTGATTAGTGTACTTACTGATTTAACCTCACCATGGTGTTCAAAGATTGCTGGAATCCGAATTGTACTTCGCGTATGTATTAATAGAATGTTACTAAGGAGTTTCTGTGGGGAAATCGTTTGTACTTATGATTGAGTGGTATCTCGAGAGCTTTCGTCACATCGATTCTAAAATCAAAAACAAATCATTTCACGAGCGCCTTTCGCCACATTGTAAATGCCGCCACCTCAATACATGAGGTCTCCAAGTCTCAATTGTATGGTTAGTGACTGTCACAACCTTCAAACTGAAACGCGTGAGTGCTTCGCGGCAGAAACTGGGAGGACGGTGATACCTACAATAGACCTTGTCAAAATTTGCAGGATCAATTTTTGACAATTTTTTTTATTGCTTAGATATGTGGACGAGCTCACAGCCCACCTGGNTGAGTCGTCTATTATCAAAGGTGGCAATCTGTGCATTTGGACAAAAAAATGTTATTGATATGTCAATACAGATTGATTTGAATATAATCGTCTCCTTCAAAGAATACGGTTCAAAACCTGCATTAAATAAAGGTTAATACTTAACCTGTTATTTATCTAAGATGTCGTTCAGAAGAGTTTTGTGACTGCCAATGGAATACGAAGTCAATAATTCGTTTTTCTGATTTACCAATAATTGTCCAAAAGTCACATTGCCGGCTTTGATAATAGTCGACTCAGACGACTCATTCTTTGAGTCTTCACTAATTATAAATAATTCTTAAAGAGTGATAGCTAAGAAGAGTGTCAGCGTGAAACTTACCAAATACGAATCGTGAATTGAATAGTGCTTACTTATAAAGGTGACTGCGAACTATCCTCTCAAACCTATCCTCTAAAGACACCTATATGACATCAAGTATATTAGACAAGACGCAGACGCTGTGAACAAAATCAATCTAAAGGTCAGGAAACTATTGAGGTCAGGAAATTTTTGTTGAGAAACCACTTTCTTCTCTGCCCGACAATTGCAGAGCAGAAATGCCATTTTCTGTTGAAAACATTAAACATTAATCTAATGTGGTGGTTGTTAATTAAGTGCTTTGTAATATTCGTATTATCCTGTCGCTAACAGATTCGTACTCCATTACAATCCTTAGATTCTTTGGAAGAAAAAGGCAACTCCATTTCTGCTGAATGCACGAAGGGGGCGGCCGCCAGAGAGGAATGGCGGCATGTTGTGAAGCTTGCCACCAACACCTGAAGTGATGACCACGACCACTCTGTCAAGAGCGACACTGACTAGGAACAAGAATATTATTAAGCCGGGTGGATTATAAAATAATACACATGACTGAATCTATCTATCATAAGTTGTATTATAAGCCTGTCTAATATTAGATGATAACCAGTATAAAAGTACTTTAACTATGATTTTTATTGCACATCTTGAGCCGTGGTTCGTTCATCTATTCATATAAAAAAGAGCATACAATCCATCTGGTGGTAAGGTTCTTATAGTCCGCAATAAATTCTGGCGCATACCAAAGTTTTTTTGAAAAATTCATTTTTGTTGTAGATGATATTATTACGTTTAGGAAACACCGTGGAATTAATTCCAGAACCGAATGGTTCGTGACAATGATGACGAACTGTGTTGTGGCTTACCTTCAGATGGTTTTAATACGCTTTTATTAGCTTCAGACGTATGTATGTTAGTATGTAACGGAATCTTTGAACATGATTTTGACCCCCTTCACAACGTCGGATTAACTCGAAATTTGGTATACTTATTAAGGACCAATGACAAATCAATATTAAAAAAAATAAAAAAAGTGAAATTCAACTAAAAAATTAAAAATAAATAATACATAGTTTCAAAAAACTAACAAAATACGCTTTTATAGAAAATCCAAGTAAAAAATAGAAAAAGCTTTTTTTACCATAAAATCATTTTTTCTTACACTATTTTTAAATCAAATTTATTTTCTTTTTTTTGGTTGGATTTTCTATAAAAGCGTATTTTGTTAGTTTTTTTAAACTATCATTTATTGAAAATGGTGTTCAACAGCAGACGGGGGCGTGACTATGCCCCGAAAAGTGCTTGCGTTCTTAAGCGAGCAAAATAAAACTGATCAACAAAAATCATTTGTGTCATATTACCTACACGTGTTTATGTTGAGATTGTTCCTTATTTTACAAATTGTAATTGACCCACGAGTTGTCGTTTGCATTAAATATAAAGTATCACCATTCGAATGCAACGTCATGCAATAATGGATCGCAAGACAATCATGATTTTTAAATGATGGTAATGAAATGGAACTGACTCGCCGAAGAAGATTGCGTAACTGTTCTTGAAATCGCTTTCTAGAGGCATTCGGCGTCACCTCGTCGGCACCGTGATAAGCGAACCTTACATAAATTGTTGCTTGTGGATAAAGGCCAGTGACTACTGCTACTGTTTACCCACCTCATTTCACTCATGCTATCATTTTGTTCTAACAGCGCGTGTTTCCGATTTCGTGGATTTTCGTATTTTAATCAGTCTGAATTTATCGATTTCATACGTAGATAAAAAATCAGATACCCGCTTTTTTAAATTTTTATATATATGTACTAATAATGATATATAATGAATCTATTTAAAAAAAATAAACTATAATGCATTACATAGTTTAATTAATTTGATAATTAACAACGAAATAAAC